GTACAGAACTGCCAAGCCCAAGCATTAAAAAATCAGGCATCAGGCCTCAAAAAGCCATGGTTGTCTTAAAAAGTCATGAGATTTTATTTCAAAATAATTCATTTGGGCTTTTTTGATTGTATATTCAGTCCTTCTGGGTTTTTAAGGCTGGAAGGTTCATGTTTTTAATCTTTTCTCTGAAATCTTGACGGTTAGATATTTACTTTTTTAAACAAAAGCTGAAATTCTGATGTAGCCACATGACAGCAAGAGCTACTGTACAGCACAAGAGTTTGCAGCACTATGGCTACTTTAAACATAGGATTGAAATGGAGACTAGGCATAGGCAGACTGCTGAGCAGCACAGTTTAACTTATCATGGTAATGAGAATAAGAGGCCCACACAGAGCTTACTTTACTCCATCTTGTGACTCTACAGAAGAACAAAGCTTGCGACATCATCTGCCTGAGGGCTATGCTGTGTTATAAAAGAAGCATCTGGTGGTTAACTGGACTTCCAGCTGTGTTGGACTGGTTGACTGGTGGTCTTGGCATGTAGCTATTCTCCATTATTTCTGTGAGTTCACACACTGAGAACTTTTCCAGAAAAAGTTACTGGGTCCCTCTCTCCATCTCTTTGACTCTTAGGAGACAAGCTAGGACAGGCCTTGAGTCTTCTTCAACCTAGCCTCTGATGTAGGACTGTCAGAACGCAGATACTAAGACCCCAAATTCCATTTGTATGGCCTCCCCAAAACTCAGTCACTCGGTCTTCCTAGGCACCAGCCACAAATTCCCATCCTTGTCCCACCAGCTTCTCAGGGTCTGACATCTCTGTAGAATCTTGAGTTAGGTCCACACCAAAAAGTTAAATTGACTGAGCTCCTCACTCAGGGTTGTGAAAAATCCACACTAGGGATGTTAAATATCGGTTCATTGAATAGTCAAGTAACCTCATGAATTCTTATCGGTTAGTCGACTATTCTGTAGTCTCTGGGAGCGGGGCTGGCAGCCAGTGTGCTCCAGCCTCACCCCTGAGAAGACCCTTGACACTTTGTGCTGCTGCCACTGTATCAGAGACAGCAACACGGGGTGGCAGGTGGGAGCTGGTCCACAAGGGGAGCCAGTTTAAAACCCAGCTCCCCTTGTGGAATGGCTGCCTGTCGGCCTGTGCTGCTGCCTGTGATAAAGAGACAACGGCCCCTGTCTAGGGGGTGGTCTGAGCTCCCAGACCCGGAGTGACCGGAACTGAGCTGGGCTGCCTGCCCGCTCGGCTCCTAATACACTTTGGCTACGTCTACACTGGCCCCTTTTCCGGAAGGGGCATGTAAATTTCATGAGTCGTAGTAGGGAAATGCGCGGGGGATTTAAATATCCCCCGCGGCATTTAAATAAAAATGTCCGCCGCTTTTTTCCGGCTTTTAAAAAAGCCGGAAAAGAGCGTCTACACTGGCCCCGATCCTCCGGAAAAAGTGCCCTTTTCCGGAGGATCTTATTCCTACTTTAAAGTAGGAATAAGATCCTCCGGAAAAGGGCACTTTTTCCGGAGGATCGGGGCCAGTGTAGACGCTCTTTTCCGGCTTTTTTAAAAGCCGGAAAAAAGCGGCGGACATTTTTATTTAAATGCCGCGGGGGATATTTAAATCCCCCGCGCATTTCCCTACTACGACTCATGAAATTTACATGCCCCTTCCGGAAAAGGGGCCAGTGTGGACGTAGCCTTTAAGTGCAGAGCTGCACCGGGGGTAGGTCCTGGATCCATCCCAGGCCAGGACTGAGCTGGGCTACTGGCCAGCCTGCTAAAAAATTTACTGGCAAGTTGGGGGGAGAGGCGAGGGGGGAGGAAGGGGGAGGGATGCATGTAGTCTAGCATTAACCTATAAACTTTTGCTTATCAGTTAATCGGTTAATCAACTCCACTTTTTTATGTCCCTAATCCACACCCCTGAGTGATAGAATTGAGCAGACCTAACCCCTTGTCTGAGCCATCTCATCCATAGGACAGTTTGGGGCAACCACCCCCCAGCCTGTGTTTTGGGGGGCCCTGCTGGGCCCAGGATGGCATGGGGGACTCACGTGGAACCTGGGGTCACCAGCAGGGGTTGGACCCAGCCCTACTCTTACCAGAGACAGCAGCAAGGAAGTAGAGCAACCCAGCCCCCACCTGCTCCGCTCTACTCCCTGCTGCTGGTGAGTGTGGGGGGCATTTCCACACCTTAACCCAAGCCCCCTCAGTGATGTAGCTGGGAGTGGCAGAAGCAGAGTGGGGGTGTTGGGGGTGGGTTGAGCACTGCTGCCAATGCCAGGCCCCCAACTAGTCCCTGACCTGGACCATGTCACTCGGGGGAGGAAGCTCAGGGGAAGGGGTGAGATAGGAGCAGAGCAGGGGTGGGAAGAGGCAGGATGAAGGCATAGTGGGAAGGGGTAGCATGGGGGCAGAGGAGGTGCCAGAAGAGATGGGAAAGGGGAGGGTCTGGGTTAGGCAATGCTATGTGGACAGAAGAATTCTTCAGTCAACCTAGCTACCGCCCCTTGGGGAGGTGGATTAACTGTAGCAGCAGCAAAACTTTTGCCTTTCCTGTAGCGACTGTCTGTAGAATCACAGAAGAGACCTTAGAAGGTCACTGAGTCCAACCCCCTGCTAAAAGCAGGACCAACCCCAATTAAATCATGCCAATCAGGGCTTTGTCATTGTCATGCCAGGACTTTAAAACTGCTAGGGATGGAGTTTCCACCACCTCCCTAGGTAACCCATTCCAGTGCTTCACCACCCTCCTAGTTTTTCCTAATATACAACCTAGAATTCCTCCACTGCAACATGAGAGCATTGCTACTCGTTCTGCCATCTGTCAGCACTGAGAGCAGTCTCTCTCCATCCCTTTTGGAACCCCCTTCAGGTAGTTGAAGGCTGCTATCAAAACCCTTCCCCCCCAACACACATTCTCTTCTCTTCTGTAGACTAAATAAGCCCAAATCCCTTAGTCTCTCCTCATGAGTCATGTGCTCCAGCCCCATAATCATTTTTGTTGCCCTCCGCTGGACTTTCTCCAACGCATCCACATCCTTTCTGTAGCGGTACGTCTAGACTACAAGCTTCTTTCAAAAGAGAATGTCTAGACTGCAATCACTTCTTTCGAAAAAGCGAGACGCTTTTTCAAAAGAGAGCACCCAGGCAGTCTGGATTCTCTCTTTTGAAAAAGTCCTGTTTGCATTCAACAACACCTTTTTTTGAAAGAGCACTTTTGGAAAAAAGGTGTTCTTCCTTGTAAAATGAGGTTTACCGCGGTCAAAAAAAACGTTGCGTACTTTCAATTTAATTTCGAAAGAATGCGGTGGCATTCTAGGACAGAGTGGAAGTTTTTTCGAAAAAAGGTCACTTTTTTGAAAAAACCCTGTAGTCTAAACACACCCCAATGGGGGCCCAGATTGGATACACTAGTTCAGATATAAACTTAGCTGTTCCCATACCAGGAGTTGAACCCTGGCCATCTGGGTGAAAACCAGGGATCCTAACCACTAGACCATATGGGAGCTACACAATAAAGGGCAGTGATTCAGCAACACAGCTGTGATGATGACACTCTTTAACTGTGCTTTAACTGTGGCTATAACCTTGGCAAGGCATGGGCTTGTGTCCAGTGCTCACCCTCTCTCTGAGGGTATGTCTAGACTACAGAGTTTTGTTGGAAAAACAGCTGTTTTTCTGACAAAACTTGAGTTACGCCCGCACTGCAATTGAGTCCTTTTGCAAGAAAATCCAAAGAACAGAAGGCTTTTTCCACAATTGGTAATCCTCATTCTACGAGGAAGAATGCCTTTTTGTGAAAGAGCACTTTCTCAAAAAGGCATGTGATGGAGAAGAGGGATTTTTTTGGGAAGAAGAGGGAAGAGGAAAAAGCACAGGTGCCCTGGTGGCAATTCTGTCCAGAGCAAACACTGCTTACATGCATGATAGTGTCCAGGAAGTCTGGACGCTCGCTTTCAAAAAAGTGCATTGCTTTTTCGATGCACTTTTGCAGTGTAGATGCGCTCTTCTGCAAGAAGTTTTTTCAGAAGATCTCTTCTGAAAAAAGCTTCTTCTGCAAGCAGCCTGTCGTCTAGACATAGCCTGAGTGTGCTAGCGGCTATCGCAATAGCTCAGGAACATAATAATTTATCGTAGCATTGGGCCCTTTGGGGGGGTGTCACCCTGGGGTTCTCATAGCAGCTAGAATTTATTTTCCTCTGTGCATGAAATGCTCCTGGGAGTCAGGTGAGAACGTCTGAGAGAGAATGAGAAGTGTTCTGGGAGCAGTGACTGACTGAATGTCTCTAGTACCGAGCATGCCTAAGGGACTGGCACAAAGTCACAAAAAGAGTCAGTGTCAAAGCTGGGCTGAAAATGAAAAAAATTGCTTGCTGGTAGGCCTTTGTCTAGGCCACTAAACCTATGTCTTCACAGCAGCATTATTTCGGAATAACTGACGTTATTTCAAAATAACATCGTCTGCGTCTATACTGTAAGCAGTTATTTCGACATAATGTCAAAATAATGGCAAGCTGGAGGACTTCTTATTCCGACTCCTATAACCCTCATTATATGAGAAGTAAAGGAAGTTGGAGGAAGAGTGTTCTTCCTTTGACTTCCTGCTGTGTAGACAGCACCAAAAGCCAGAATAAGCTATTTCGATGTAAGCTACACAATTGACGTAGCTCAAGTTGTGTAGTTTATTTTGACTTTAGATGTGCCCATAGACATACCCCTCTCTAAATAAGATACCCTGAAGCTACCAGTTCAAGGACAACTCATCGCAAAAGAAAATATTAAACCCACTCCATGTACTGAAACTACCAAAGCATAATGCTTAATCCCATATCTGTATAACAGAATTTCCTATTTACCAGAATGATTCTACAATGTATTGTTTTAAGAGAACTTGGAAGGTGCTAGTGAAATGTTATCACCCAAAAAGACAAAAGCCTGGAAATGACCATTGTTACAGCAGGAAGTTCCACAGAAGGGTACACCCCCTTTGAGACGTGTTTCTTCTGCTCAGTTAGTGGAAATGTCGTAGCCTGGATTTTTGCCTAGCTTGTTCAAAATTGTGTGTTCAATACTGGCAGAGTTTAGGCTCACTGGCCATAAAACAGGATCTGATATATTGATCTGAGGTGTGCAATTTTTCTCACTGATGTTTCTGCCATCATGCAAAGCTGATTTTTTTTTATGGTTTCTCCCCTTTTCATGGAAACCAGATTTTTTTTTCATTACTCTTCTTTTTATGTGAGCCACGTCCTTTACACCTCCAGGAAAACTGGACAATTCTCCATCACTTTCTTCAAATTTCCATTCCTTATTTTCAGGTAAATACCTTAGCAATTAGACATCCATCATTTACGCTTCGCTCCTCAATTTCTTCTGCCATGGGATAATAGCTACTGCCTAAAGCATGGTCTATGTTGTTCTGTTTCAAATATTTTCCCATCAGATTTGCCTCTTGCTGCAAACTAGATTGCAACTGAGCTTTTCACTTCCTGTGCTGAGTTCCTGACAGTTTCTTTGGCGGCATCTTTTATTTTCTATGGGGGAAAACCAGAAAGCATTAGAAAGAGAAAACGTATTTGTTCCACAGGCTTAGAATGTCATCAACCATGGCGTTGGGCATGGCAAAAGAAGTTACAATATTTCTTTTATACTGTTCTGTAGATAGGGGTTCAATAAATATCTCTGGCATCTCATTAACTACAAAAAAAAAACCTGTTTTATCTGGCACTTACCAACCAGAAACCTCTATACATCAGCATTTCTGATCTTTTTATGAAGAATGGTTTATAGTCCAGTTGGCATGGGGCCAGCAAGCTCCCCACCTGGCTCTGTATGGCTCCCCAGAAGCTGGGGCATGTCCCTGCTGTTCTTAAATGGAGGAACAGCCGTGGGAGCTTCGTGTGCGACCACACATTGAGCACTGGCTCCACAGCTCTCATTGGCTGGGAATGTGCAGAAAGCACAGCAAATACGGCAGGCGACCAGCTTGGCTTAACAGAGACATCTTTGGTGAGCTTAGACACAGAAAGGAAGCTTACAGGAAGCGTAAACTTGGGGAGATGGTTAGGGAGGAGTGTAAACATGGGCGTCCGGCAGCCTAACTGCCAGACATGACCCACACTCTGCTGTAGGCATTCTGGGGGAGGAGTGTTGCTACCTCTAGCCCTTGCTCTCCCCGTGCTCTGGGGCTGGAGATGGGCACTCTCTTACCTCCCCAGTACTCTATGGCTGGGGAGGCTGGAGCCAAGCAGCCTCCTCCCACCTGTGCTCCAGGGCCAGGGATGCTCGGGCCATGCGGCCTCCTCCCTCCCTGATGCTTTGGGTTGGGGAGGCTGAGGTGCGTGTGTGCTTGCCCTCACCCCTCCCCATTTTGGGGGGTCCTCAGCAGGGGGACAATGCTGTAGGTGGGGTTGGGGGCCTGCCTCCCCCAGCCCTAGCTGCACCCACCACTCAGGATATGAAGGATAACAAGAAGGGTTTCTACAGGAATGTAAGCAACAAGAAGATGGTCAGAGAAAGAGTGGAATCCTTACTGACTGGGGAAGGAAACTAGTGACAGGCAGTGTGGAAAAAGCTGATGCACTTAATGCTTTTTTTGCCTCCATTGTCACAGACACAATCAGTTCCCAGACTACTGCACTGGACAGGACAGTACGGGGTGGGGGTAGGCAGCCCTGTGTGGTGACAGAACAGGTTAAGAACTGTTTAGAAGCTGAACGTGCACAAGTCCATGGGACCAGATCTGAGGGTGCATCCAAAGGTGCGGAGAGTGTTGGCTGTGATGCGATTGCAGAGCCATTGGACATTATCTTTGAAAACTCATGGCAATTGGAAGAGGTCCTGGATCACTGGGAGAAGACAAATGAGGGCCCATCTTTAAAAAGGGGAAGAAGGAGAATTCAGGAGAGGAACTACAGACCAGTCAGCCTCACCTCAGTCTCTTGAAAAGTCAGGGAGCAGGTCCTCAACGAATCCATTTGGAAACACTTGGAGGAGAGGAAGGTGATCAGGAACAGTCAGCATAGATTCACCTAGGGCAAATCATGCCTGACCAACCTAACTGCTTGCTACAATGAGATAACTGGCTCTGTGGATATGGGGTGGACATGATATACCTAGTTTTTAGCAAAGCTTCCACAGTATTCTTTCCAGAATTAAAAAAAGTTTGGCTTGGATGAATGGACTGTAAGGTGGGTAGAAAGCTCGCTAGATTGTGGGGCTCAATGAGTAGGGATCTACATCTCAATGTCTAACTGGCAGCCAGTATCAAGTGAAGAGCCCCAGAGGTTAATCCTGGGGCTGGTTTTATTCAGCATCTTCATTAATGATTTGAATAATGGGATGGATTCTACCCATGTTCCCTGTGTGTTTGGGCAGCCATCCAGGAGATGTTCAAATACCACCCAACTGATCAGCAGAGTGCCCACAGCCAGCATGTATCTCTATGGGTGGTGCACTTGTGAGGCCACATCTGGAGTATTGCATCCAGTTTTGGGCCACTCGGAGAGAAAGAAAGTGGACAAACTGGTGAGAGTTCAGTGGAGGTTAATGAAAATGATTAGGGGGCTGAGGCACATAACTTATAAGGAGAGGCTAATAGGACTGGTCTTATTTAGTCTGCAGAAGAGAAGAACGATGTGGGAATTGATAGCCATCAACTACCTGAAAGGGGGTTTCAAAGAGGATGGAGCATGGCCAGTGTTGGGCAACTTGTGCTAGTTTATCAATGTATTAATGATTTCACGTAACCTCGGCACACTGCATCATAATATGACATTTTTAACAACGCCTCACCTCCCTGTGGGTGTGATCTGAAGCCACAAAGGTGTATTCTGTTGATTTCAGTGGGTTTTGGATAAGGCTGTGTGTCATAATATTATGACTTTCTACACTGTAACCTCCGTACTTCAGCTGTCCCCAATTCAGGAACACCTGTGGTATGAACGCTGGCAAATGGAGGTGAAAGCGGCTCTGCACAATGCTGCTCCCTTCTCCTGACCACGGGAGGAACGGCAGTGCAGTGACGCGCTCTGCTGGAGGCTTTTTCCTGCTGCTCGCAGAGTGCCAGGTAAAGCACCCTACTCCATCCCCCTCACTCCCTCCCTAGCCCAGGAAAATGTTTAATCTGGCAAACCCTAAAGAGGTGCATGTGTTTTACAAACCAATTTCTCGAGTTACACCAACTAACACAGCAGTGGTTTCATACATTCAACTTGTTTTAAAAAGCAGTATGTTTTGTGCAGATTCAAGGCTTGTGCAGAGTGCCAGGTAAAGCACCCTACTCCATCCCCCTCACTCCCTCCCTAGCCCAGGAAAATGTTTAATCTGGCAAACCCTAAAGAGGTGCATGTGTTTTACAAACCAATTTCTCGAGTTACACCAACTAACACAGCAGTGGTTTCATACATTCAACTTGTTTTAAAAAGCAGTATGTTTTGTGCAGATTCAAGGCTTGTTCTGTGGCTTGTCACTTCGTTTTCTTATTTGGATTGCAGCAATGTTTGGAGAATCCCACCAAGGAACAATGCTCATTGTGCTAGACAACAGGCGTGCATGTAACAAATATATGGTCCCTACACCACAGAGCTTAAAAACAAAGATATTCTTGAGCAACCTCTTCACCAACAGAGTGGCCAGCAGGGCTGGGCTCTGACATTTTGCCTGCCACTAAACCAGGTGAATGCCCTCCCTGCCTAGGAGACACTCCTTGCCTGCCCCCTTTCCCCCCTCACCCCGCTCCAGGAGGGGTTGGAGAGGAGGGAGAGAGGCCCCCCCGGGAGGGGCCAGGAGGAGGGAGCCCTGCTGGGCCCCTGGAACAAGCCAGGAGGCGGGGTGCACAGTCCCTGCAGCCGTGGGTCACCCCCAGGGAGAAGCCCCTCCTCACCCCTTACCCTGATTCCTGCATCCTCCCATGCCCCATGCCTCCTGCCCTGAGGCCCCCCCCCCGTTAATGCCCTGTCCTGACTCCTGTACCCCCAACACCGCCAGCCTCCTGCCCTGAAGGACTCGGGCAACACCGAATAAGTCTTCTAGGGTATGTCTACACTACAAAGTTAATTCGAACTAACAGCCGTTAGTTCGAATTAACTTTCATAGGCGCTACAGAGGCAAACCGCTAGTTCGAACTTAATTCGAACTAGCGGCGCGCTTAATTCGAACTAGGTAAACCTCATTCTACGAGGACTAACACGTAGTTCGAATTAAGTAGTTCGAATTAAGGGCTGTGTAGCCACTTAATTCAAACTAGTGGGAGGCTAGCCCTCCCCAGGTTTCCCTGGGGGCCACGCTGGCCAACACCAGGGAAACTCTATGCCCCCCTCCCGGCCCCGGACCCCTTAAAGGGGCACGGGCTGGCTACGGTGCCCGTGCCAGGTGCAAGCCTGCCAGCACCCAGCCAGCAGACCCTGCACCTTTGAACTAGCTGGAGGCTAGCCCTTCCCAGGTTCCCTGGTAGGCACTCTGGGCCAAACCAGGAAAACTCTTCTGCCCCCCTCCCAGCCCCGGAGCCCGTAAAGGGGCAGATTCTGGCCACAGTGCCTGTGTCAGTTGCCAGCCTACCAGCATCCAGCCAGCAGACCCTGCACCTGGCACGGGATGAGCCACCCACCTGCTGCCACCCAGCCCTCCGCCTCTTCCCAGGACCAGGCTGGTGGCTTCAAGGAACCTGCCTGGGGCTGCAAGAGGCGGGCACCCGCCTGGTCTAGTGCGGACATCATGGACCTCATCGAGGGTTGGACCCGAGCCCTGAGCCTAGAACATAAAAGCATAAGAATGGCCGTACTGGGTCAAACCAAAGGTCCATCTAGCCCAGTAGCCTGTCTGCCGACGGGGGCCAGCACCAGGTGCCCCAGAGAGGGTGGACCGAAGACAATGATCAAGTGATTTGTCTCCTGCCATCCCTCTCCAGCCTCTGACAAA